GAACGTATGCGCTGAGCAAGCTGAACGGAAAGGGCGTCACAAAGGGTGAGTGGGATGTCCCCTCGCTGACGCTGGTGGAAGATGGAGATAAAGTGCGGGTTCATGTGAATGTGTCCAACATAATGAACGGCGTCCTGAGTTACGAAAACGGCAGGCTTACTGGAATGCTCATGACGACAATGATGATGGGACCACCGTTTCATATGGATGTGGAGCGTGCCCTTGGTGTTGGATTTGAAAAGGGAATGCGGGCCTCGCGCGAGGGTGACAGGCTGACCCTTTCCCACGGCGAGGACACCCTGGTATTTGTTGTAGATGGCAGCACCGCTGCATGACAATCTGCGGTGGATGGTACCATAATTTATTTTATATGCGTTGTATACAGCTTTGGTTTCACGTTAGGGTGTTTTTTTTTTCCGTTTGATTCGGTCATTTGCGTATTGGATTCTTTTGTATTGTTTCTTGTAGTTTCTATGGTGTGTTTTTTTTTGGTGAGAATCGTTTTATTGATAGCTAGTGGGTTTGATTTTTTTTTTATCTTCATTTTCTTGACCTGTTCTGTGTGGCTGTGGAAGGCCCTGGTATGACGCATATCGATGATGTCGAGAACGCACCGGAGCGGACAGCTGAAGATGAAGCTTTAGATTTGCGTGTTTTTGCTCGTGCCATGTGTGATGAGGCGTGCAGCATACAGAAGCTTTTGCATGAGTACACGGATAAGACGAGAGCTCTTGACGATGAAGTGCGAGGTTTTGTGGAGCGCGACAACGCGGAGGAGGACGCGCTTCAGATGATTGTGACGGATGTTGCGCATGCGGAAATGAGGGCTCTTCGAAACGTGCGTTACGTTGAATTTTCACAGCAGAGGTCAGGCGCGTTGGCTGAGCGAGCCGCCGAAGGGGCAGTGGTCTGTCCGGCCTCAGCAGACGGAAGGACTTCGTGGGTATGTGGCTGGCTGCCTCGCCGCGTTGTGCAACGGTGCCCCGGATGCAGTTTTTGATCTTGGCAAATATGGTGACGTGGTTGAAGTGCTGTTGGGATGGCGTTCGCCCACATCGACGTCGCGGGCGCAGCTTGACGCCTTGTGTGCGTCCATTGTTGGCAGTGCTCCGGATATTTCTCTCTACGTCCTACTGGTGAATGGCTTTCTGTACACTCCTTGTGGCACAGGTGATGCTCACAAGCTTGCCGAGAAGAATGCCGAGGCGGCAACAGTTGAGGGTGGGAGCGTTGTGGCCGAGGAGGTGCTTGTGCAATGGCTTGATGCTGTTGTCATGCGCTCTTTGCTTACTGGTAATCGACTGCAGGACATTTTCAACGCGGCTGGTGCGATGGAGCGGAGTGAGCATGGGTTGGTGGGGGACGGCCACGACACACTGAGCATTGTTCTTCACACACGTCTGCTTCATTCCGCCATTTTTCGTGGTTTTTTTTTCTCTGGGCAGTTGCGGGCCGTGGAGTCGGTTGGTGCGCAAGCGAACCTGATGTTCTCCTTGTTTGGAGTGACTGGGAGTGAGTCCCAGCAGCGAGTGGAGAGGCGCGTTGTCGATGTGTTTGAGAGCCTGCAGAGACAGGAAGGAAGGCCGCTTTCTGCATGCAAAAATGCTGCGGTGCTGCTTGCTGTGCAGGGTGACGTGTTGGCTGCTGGTGATGGCGCGTTGCCGTTGAGATTTGTGGTTCTAGACATTCGTCCACTTGCGCCGAGTCTTCCCTTCACGTGGCACTTTACGTGGGCCGAGATATGTGCGCTGGGGCAGCTTGACACGGCGCCTGGTGTGGGCCACGGATCGGTTCCGCTCCCTGTTTTCAAAACAACTCGTGTTGCCGTAGCGTCCCTGGAGCCGTACGATGCACTTTCGAGGGAGGCGTTTCCCGCACTTAATGGGTACCTTCGTGAGGCCCGCCTGTGGCGTCGATCAGCTACGGGCTCAACGAGATTTACCGCTGCTGCTGCTGCTGGCGCCGCTCTTGTGCTTGCCGCCGTGTTTGTGGGAAGACTTTATTTTGGGTCTCGCCGTGGATAAACACTGTGTCGGGTGGGGCCTGGCACGAAATATTTGGGTGACTGGCATTGCTCAGTGTGGAACGATGTAAATACTACATGCAGGTGTCATACTTTTTTTTTCTTGTCGCTTTCATGTTGTGCTACGTGCATACTTCCTCCAGGGCGCCCCACGTGGCGACGTGTGTGTCCATCTGGCAGTAGTGGCGTTCAGGTGGTGGTGTGTGTCTTTTTTATCTCACGCCCCCCCCCCCACTCTCCACAGGTAGAAAGCATTTATTGAGATCATGAATAAGCTGCAATTTTGTGGAAGCTACGTCCTGGAGCAACTCGATGGCGAGCTGCTCACAACGAAGGCAAAGCTCGACCTGATGGAGGAGGCTGATGGCGTAATGGTCGTCGCCAAGGTTGCCAACACGTTGCAAGGCAAAGTAACGTTTAATGATGGCAAACTAAGCGGTGGCCTCACGTCCACGACGCGTACGGGGACAGACGAGCAAAGCATGATTGAGAGGGCCTTGTTAAAGGGGTTTGGAGCCGGTCTTGACGTGCAGTGGAGCCACGACACTCTGACACTGGCGGGGGAGTTAAACAACCTCGTGTTCCATCGTGTGTTGACGGTTGAGAGTCTTGTTGGTCGGTACGCTTTCAGGGAGTTCAACGGCAAACCCGTCGAAGCTGGGGATATGGAGCTGGTGGTGATTCCCAGTAACGAGGAGTGCGTCTCGGTGGTTGCTCAGTTCACGAATACTCTTCGGGGCGAGTTGAAGCTGGAGGATGACATTCTGCAGGGTGTGATTGCCTCAACGACACTCGACTCTGAGGGCGTGCAGAAGGAGATGGAGGGGAGGTTTTATGCAGGCATGGATGGTGGTATGCGGGTGTTTGTCGACGGGAGGACCCTTACCCTGAAGGATGACCACAGTGTCTTCTTGTATTTGCGGTCGCTGCTTCCGAGTGATGTTGCCGGTGAGTATATGTTCAAGACTCTCAACGGTGCTCCCGTGCGCTTGGACGGGCAGGCAAGGCTTGTGCTTTCCCAGGGCAGGGGCGGGGGCGTGGACGTCGTCGCGAAGGTGGTCAACATTCTGAGCGGGAGGGTGCAGATGGCAGAGGATACGTTGCGTGGGGAGCTGATGGCAACGACGATGCTGGGGAGCGAGGCCGAAATGCTTCTGGAGAGTGCGTTGACTAGCGGCTTCAGCGCCGGTTTTTTATGCACCCTTGACGAGGGACGGCTGACAATGCGTTGCGGCGAAAACACACTCGTGTACGCAAAGGCAGTTGCCATGCCGTACTTAAATGGGAAGCCGACGTACCTGGGAGAGAGCGTGGTGCCATGCTTCAAGGGTCACGGCAACGGGCTGATGTTTCGCATCGTCAACGCGGACGAGCGAAAGTGGGCGTTCTACAACGACACGACGGGGTACAACATGCGCGTTGTGGTGACCTTTGGCCTCAGGTCGAGGGTTGAGGGTCTCAGTGACACATTTCTGACGGTAAATGAGGACGGCCAACAGGTGGCCGAGGCGTTAGTGGCCCCTGGCGCCACTGTTATGTTTATTGCTGGGCACGTGAACGGGTACAGGTGCTCCTACGACGCGGAGCCTCTGTAGGAGTGGTTGCGGCGCGATGCCGTGGGCTGTATATGGAATATGGAAGGAAGTGATTCTTTTTTTTTTTTCATTGTTTCGTTTTTGTTTCTATGCGTGCATGAGTCCGTGTTGCGGTGTGTGCTTGTGCGGTTCCTGCGCTGTGGGTGCACCGCTGACTCCATCTGCGTTTTTTTTTTTTGTTGTCTGTGGGTGTGTACGCAGCATACACACGCAACTGTAATGTTAAAAAGGATGACAAAAAGGTCCAGATCAGGAGAACATGGTGGATGACGCAAAGACGCTTTTTGGAACGTATGCGCTGAGCAAGCTGAACGGAAAGGGTGTCACAAAGGGTGAGTGGGATGCCCCCTCGCTGACGCTGGTGGAAGATGGAGATAAAGTGCGGGTTCATGTGAATGTGTCCAACATAATGAACGGCGTCCTGAGTTACGAAAACGGCAGGCTTACTGGAATGCTCATGACGACAGTGATGATGGGACCACCGTTTCATATGGATGTGGAGCGTGCCCTTGGTGTTGGATTTGAAAAGGGAATGCGGGCCTCGCGCGAGGGTGACAGCCTGACCCTTTCCCACGGCGAGGACACTCTGGTATTTGTTGCAGATGGCAGCACCGCTGCATGACAATCTGCGGTGGAGGGTACCATAATTTATTTTATATGCGTTGTATACAGCTTTGGTTTCACGTTAGGGTGTTTTTTTTTCCGTTTGATTCGGTCATTTGCGTATTGGATTCTTT